GAGAGGCATTCTCACCTATGCCTGATGCTCTCTGTTTTCAAATTTTCTACTCTTTCAAACAGATTAAGTGATCACCTTAATACTTTGTTTGTATTTCTATACACACACCACCCCTTCTGATAAAAAGATAATCTTTGTAACACTGTGTGTTAAATGGCACATTTTATTTCCTTACCATATTAAAAATAAGAGCTTCCTACATACTTCCTGCTCAAATTACATGGATTTTCTTTAAGATTAGGGCACACATTGTAACAGCAGCATATAATTTTCCTGCACAATAATTTTTTTTCCAGTTGAAAGGTATCCTATAATATCATCAGCATCAACAGGAACAGACACCTGATTTTCAGCTAGACAAAGCTTATGCGTTTGGTGACTTTAGTCCCTGTAAAAAGCAGTTTTCAGATATACAGCAGCTACGTGAAAATTTGAAAACAATCTGGCAACTCATTCTTTGACCACAAAGTGCTAGACCAAAAGATGTAAAAATTGTGCCAATAATAAGATGGTGTGATTTTTTTTCCCTAATATCCTACTTTTGTTGCTCTAATTTCATCCTCTGTTAATTTTATACACATCCAGAAACAGAGCATAAGCACTGCCCTTCCTAAAAGCTGTATGGATTCCATGAAAAACTAAGTATAGAGCATAAAACCTGTTTATCCATTTAAGAAATCTTTTTGTTGAAACTACTGTGTATGTAACTGCGGATAAAAAGGCTATATGTACCCCAAATATCTCAAAACCGTCAGCATATTCCAAAGACAAGATTAAAGACCGAACTCCTACTACTTAGACAACGTATTAATTCTCAAATTTGTTGTGATTCCTTTCAGAGTATGGAAACTGCAAGTCTTCCGTGCTTCAGAAAGCACTTTAGCATGAGCTTACAACAGCCAATCAAGGAATCTTTGCATTGAGCTATGCTTGTTGCAAAACACACATTTCTTTTTCTTCTTTCAGAATTACTGGCTGAAGCTCTGTGATAGAGAAGACACCAGAGTATGAGCCAGCATACACAAAAGTTTAATTTTGTTTTAAAAACAAGCTATTTATAAAATTGCCAGTGTCACAGGTCTTGTGCCCAAAAGTCTGTCATCTTCAGCCGCTATTGATTGTTACAATACGAAAGTATCACGATGATCCAGGTATCAGAGTCACATAAGTACACAATAATTTAAAAGAAATAAATTTAAGTTTCATTAAGTTGCAAGGAAATTTTAACTATGAACTTTTACTTAAATACTTGGAAGGTGAGAAGGAAAAAAAATACTGATTAAAAAATATCACTATTTTTAGGCCAAACGTGCTATTTTCTGTATCAAATTTATACTATTCTTAAAGATAGAATTGATATTATCTGTAGTAAGATAATTCACTTAAACATGTGTTGTGACCTGACCAAATGAAAAAAGTAAGTACAGCAAAGCAAAATATGGCAAAACAGTAAGTAAATGTATTCACTCTAGTGAATATGCATGCATACGCATGAATATGCATATGCACAGTTTTCTTTCTTATGGGTTATTAATGTTTTCCATCATCAATTTGTTAGAATTGACAAAAACAAGTTATATTTTAAAAATTAATCAGTTTTAAGGTAATTTGCCCTTACAAAATCATTCTTACAATCCTACAATTCAACCATTTTTAATTGTGTACTACTTTGTATTATTAAGGTCAGTCCTGAGATTTAACTAAAATATAGTTATCTTTTGGATGACATATGGCAAGATCTCCAACTCTCTTTAGCTTTGGAAATTTACATCTGCCTGTTCAGTCAAGATGCTAAGCATACATGTGTTGACAAATAGAAAATAGCAGATGGCAAAAAGCAAATGCTCAACATGAAGCACTGGGGATCATTTGAAGAAGGCTTGGACTCAGACATTTGCCATTTAACAGCAGAATTATTTTTAAAAATAAATTCCACCATCTATTATGCTTGATGCTAATGAATATCCGTGATCAGAATATACACTATTACAGAATGAATGTCATATTAATTGCAATTGGTATCCAAGATGCAAGTTGCTTTATAAACTTTTGGGTTTTAAGGTAATTAGCACAATACAATTCTTCAGGAGGTTAACTTTCGCTGCTACACATAAGCCAGAAAACTTTCTGTACTGGCCATATAATTTGTCATGAAATCTTTTAATAGGCAATATACGGCTGTGCTCATCTGCTATTCCGGCTTTTAAACTGGAGTTACTCTGATAACTGACTACTACCACTTTGTCAGAGTGTTGAAGCTACCAAGAGCTCTAAGTACAAGCTTTACTTGAGGAGCAAGGGAGTTACTTCATCCAAATAGGACACAACAGGTAAGATGAGAGGTCCATCCAGTGCTACGCTTTTTACTAACAATGAACAGTGGATGCCTAGGGAATAGTATCAGAGTAAGACAAACATACAGCAACACCTCCCTTATATATTCCACCAATATTCGGAAGTCCATAGCTCATGAATCTCTGAATCAGAGGGAGTATTTTTTGTGTTAACATGCTATGGCAGACTTTTCTTTCATGAAAGCCTTACAACATTTTCAACCATGGAACCCCTTGGACTCAACATCTGTGGCAATAACTTTCACGCTGTAACTGTGTGCTATATGAACACCTTTTAGTGAAGGCAAGTAGTGTAGCCTCCAGTCACTCCTACAGCCAATGAGTTTTTAAGGTGCGTAAAAATAATTGTTATTTTATTACCACCGTGCTTTTAAAGACTTAAGACTGACTGTGCTAGATGCTGTATTAGTAAGTAGACAAACAAGTAGAGTCTGTAACAGGTCAGCAAAAATAAAATAATAATGAATAGAGACAGGACATATGGTAACAACAGACAAGCAGCACCAGATCTGCCTTGGAGAAAACACCTACAAGTAAACATCAGTGCGGCTTTTTAGTCAGAAAGAGAGATCCATCACTGATACCAAAAGAATTCTGAGCCAAACAGCAAAAGAAAGGGAAAAAAAAAAGGAAAAAAAAAAGAGAGAAATAGCTTTCTTTTCTCTAATATTTCTCCACTGACTTTTCAAATAAAGAGCACTAACCATTTAGTCTGGAAATACACAGGTTCTAATGAACAGCTTGTATATTGAAATAACCTTTTCATCTTCTAAAACTACACACAGTTATAGATGTAAACAGACAGCTATAATCTCCAACAATTGTCACTTCACACACTTCAAAATAATTACATGAAAGTACAGTGCTGTAACACAAAAGGTCAGTTTCATTTAAAAAAATTCAGACAGGAAAGGCACTATGTAGTTTCAGTTCTGTGGCAAACAGCTCTGAACAATACTTCACATATGATTTTAATTCCATTATTATACATCGATTCATTGTGAAAGAAATATATTAATTCCATTACAGTGTTCAGTTTAAATTAGCCTCCTATCTGAAAAGAAGAGGTATTTTACACTGTGGTCCTCCATTGTTTTCATTAAGAACAAATAGATAATTAATAATATTTTATTCACATTTTACTAGTAATTCAGTAAAACAAAAAACATTAGGAGGTCCAAGAAAACAACTATTTCTCTTAAGAGTGGAACTAAGAAGCTTGGTTTCCAAGGCACTCTCCTACATTGATTCTTCTAACGTTTATTAGTGAGGACCAAAGGATTTATGTCCTGTATCTGCAGGCAAACATCTTGTAAAGTGTTGAAACTTAAGACTCTAAGTACAGATCAGTTTCAGACAAAGAATTAAGTTCGCAGGAAGCACTTAGAAGGAGTAATGTGCAGCAGGATTGCTTAGCAAATTCAACTGAAGAGTATCAAAATGTGTAAATTTGGAACATATTTCATACTGGTGAAATGACCTTTAAAAGAGTTTTCACAGGGGCTAGAAATAAAAATTTTAAAAAACCAACAAAAAACCAACCAAAAAAAAACCCCCAAAAACAAGCCATGAATTTATTTCAACTCTAACAAAACTCAGACTCCTGTTGACTGGCATTCTCTTTACCTCACTTAAAAATCCCAACTTCTTATCACATGCCTTCTGACACCACAAAACAAGCAAGATCAGCCATGCGTGTGCTCTCTAATGTCCTGCCAATAGTGACGGCCTAGCTAGCAGCTACCTAAAGGAATATATAAAAACTGAGTTCTGCTCACCTTCTTCCTTCTTCTCTACCAGGTTTCAAGAAACTTAGGAATTTAGTTACCTTAGGAACTCTATTTGTCTATCAAATTTGGTTGAAAACGGTCAACAGTATCAAAAAAATACACCCCATTTTCCTCAGAAAGCCAGGCCAAAGCATCTTTTGAGCAAAAAGCCTGAATTCAGGGGAAATAATAAAAAAGAACCAAGAATCATACAAAATAACCTGGTAAAGCTCTGAGATTCTTACACATGTATACCAGGAGTACAGGAAAAATTAAGAGAACTCACAGAACATCAAGTCTTAATGCATGACCAAAACCATAATTCCACAAAAATGCACCAGAAGAGTTTCAAATAAAATTGATATTAACATATTTTGCTCCTATACGTTTTCTATTCCATTACTGCAGACTGTCAGGAAGAACTTTTTGTTCTTTGCATCTGTTCTTTATACATTCAAGGGTTGCGTTCAGCATGCTGCAACTGCACACGTGATAGTAAATACCACAAGTATCAATTAGCACATTTCATGATTACATGCTACAAACAATGACCTTTTTTGACTTGTGCGCCTGATTTTCCAGCACCTGATGAACAAGTATTTGGCTCAGTTCATTCATGAACGTTTAGCGAAGCTGGGAGACATAGCAGTGTTTTGGAACCAGAACACCACAACCCCTCTTTGCAAAATATAGTAACAACTCAAACTCCAGATGTTTATTTCAAACTTAAACCAGTCTCAGTGAATTGCTATTATAAACACACTCGAATTAATTAATCGTATTTATACAAAAAATGTAAAAACAAAATCTGCAATTATTATCTTATTGGTTTATAAAATTCATTTTTGCACGTCTTGAATAACAAAAACATACTTACTAATAAAGCAAGTTTTTGATACTTCCGTTTTAGTTCTGCCAGACTGTCCGATGGCTTTGCACCCAGGATTTTGTACCAGTCCTTTTGTGTTATCCTTTCAAAGGCCATAGTCTGAATGACTTTGAAATTACTTTCTTAGCGCTGTGTGAGAAAATTAAATAAATATAATTACAATTTGAAAGAGAAACAGTTAGAAAAAGCAAAAATGAGGAAATGTGACAAACTACAGGATCATGAAATAGATTTCAGCCCTCAAGCACATCTACACCCCTACATAAGATCTATAGTGCAAAAACCCAGCTTAATTCACATGGCCATTCCATCCCGTAGATTGTCATATGTGAAGTGATTTAAGTTATGCTGTGTTTTCTGTCCCAGTTCCTTAGTACATCATGTTTCAGAAGCTGCCCATACTCCTTTAAAATAATTTTGCATTTTAACTGTCTGTACTATTTTGAACCTACCCGCATTATACATACACTTTTTCTATATACACTTGTTAAAATACACACTTTTTATTTTGAAGCATTACTGTACTTAATATATGAAAAAAGGAAGTACATAAAAGTGTGACATTTTGTCAATTCCGGAATGAGATACATGCAAGACGACAAAAAGGTATGGCTCAAGTTTTACACAATGATATTCACAGTATGGACCATCCTTCATCTTGCTGGGTAAGGCGGCTTAACTTTTTTAATATGAAAGTAGAAGAGCATATAAAAACAAACAAACAAAAATGAACAAAAGCATATAAAGTTAGCGCAGGTTGCAAAGTAAAACCTAACTAGTTGGGTGCTTTTTATTTTTGGCCATTTATCGTCAAGCTAATGACCCAGAATGAAGAAAAAACAAACAGAAGAATTAAATGCCAGTAAGAGCACAGTAACGCTTGAGCTTCAAACAGATTCTCAGGTATACTGAAATCCCAAGCTCGTAGTAGCTGATTTATTATGAGCTTTCTGATAAGAAATAACATTGTCTCTCAGTAGGGAAAAGTTTCACAAGTTTCATAAGTCTTTTTTTATTGTCGAAAGAAAGAAAAAGGATTTTTTCCGTTTCAGCGCTGAAATTGGTTTCTGGTGACTACCGTCACGCTTCAGAATAAATCCTTTTTTCACAGGAGGAAAAAAGTGTGTTTTTCAAACTTCGCAGAGCTACAGCCAGAAAGAGGGCACGCTCGACCGCAGGGTAGTCCCCCCTCTTCCTTTGGGGGAGCACCAGGCACGCATGCCCGCCCCTCCCACTCCACACCTTTCTCCACGAAGGCCCCTTTCTCTCTAGGGAACCCACAAGGGTTTTTAAAAACACGCGAAAACGCAAGCGCCGCCTGGGGCCGCGCTTCCTCGCCGCAGCCCCCACCACCCAGGACGAAGCGGCCGCTGCGCCACTGCGGACCCACAGCAACGGCTCCGCGCCGACCGACACGGCGGCAGGCGGGACGCACGGACCT